TGTATTTACATTTTTTTAATTGATTTTTTGAAAAAAAAATGAAGATTTTAGCGTTACACGCATTTAGCTATGCCCGTGCTAACAAAAATTTAGGGCACACGGGCATTGGCACTGGCAATGGCGCCTGTCGTAGAACCTATTAACTAGCAAAGAAATATTATTTTATTTCGGTTAAGAAGTACAATTTATTAAAGTATTGCTATTTGTTTCTGGTAGATCGTTAAGAGTACCAGATTTTTCTGACTTCTTTTAAGCTATGAACGCACATGATTTTTTAAATGTGATTTGCTAGTATTGTTCGAGTATTGTTTCTTTCAACGATGCAGACATTGCCAAACATTTTGATTATCATGCAACACATTTATCCAATGTTCTTTGATGCTATATGTATTATTGATTGTTTCTGTTATACTATTCTCTTGAGAGATATTTGAAATAAAGTCGTCAGAATATATTGTTGTCAAATCTTCCATCAGAAAGCCAACGCAATAGTGAAATGCGAACACAAAGGTGGAAAGTAAACGCAAAGGTAGCAAAAGTTAAGTCTTATTTGAAAGTGTTCTTTTATTTAGAAGTGTTTTATTATATAACACGTCAATATTAATACGATAGTGAAGAAAAAAGAGGTAGAGAAAAGAGTTCTATTCGAACTACTCATCTTCCCATTTTGCGAAAATATAATTTTATTTGCTAAAAATGTCACAAACTCACTCATAAAAATATCCAGAAACATTGATGCCAAATAAAAAAAAAAGACGGGCACTTGGGCAATAGCACTAGTGCCCAGCGTGTTGCCATTGGTTCCCGGCATGGGAACTCTAATAAATACCAAACTGTGTGCTATAGTAACTTTGTTATTGGGTCAATATGCTTTAAAAAAAAAACTCGTAATTACATCAAAAACAGTTTCTATAAACTTAACATCTTTTATTTTAACTGTAGCTGTTCTATTTCCGGAGTCTTGGTCATTTAAAAATCTCCATCAATTCTATGAATAATGCCACGTCTTAAACAACTAGATGGAGAGAATAATGATAGGTAACAATATGGAGATTTTGATCCCAAAATATTCTTTAGAATTCCTGTATGTAAAAGCTTAATGAATGATCTTTTAACACCCAATCACGTGTGTAAATTTTTTAATTATGCAATCTTATTTTATTCGTCGATTATTAAAAGTATGCGACAATAATGTAAGTCAAGCAAAACAAGAGTTACGATGGATTACTCAACATGTGTTAAATCAAACAAAAAATAATTATTATAATTGCAATAATATTCAACAACTTGATGAAAAGGAAAAACAAACTATAGCATTGATGGTTAATGATCGAGTAGAAAAATATAAACCATTACAATATATTCTTGGCACACAACCATTTTGTGATTTAGAAATAATTACAAAACCACCAGTTTTAATTCCAAGGTTGGATTTTTTTTTTTTAGTTGCTTATTTTTGCACTTAAAGAAAGTTTTTTAATATATATATAAATATGTCGAGAGTAGATGGGAAACAGAAGAATGGACAAACAGACTAATAACAAAAATAAATTCAAGAATATTCTCAAAAAATCAAAAAGGAATCAAGAACAATAACGATATTAATAGAAATGGTTATTTGGATAGAGCAGAAGGAAAACAAATAGAGATTCTTGATATTTGTACAGGATCAGGATGTATTGCATTAGCATTGGCATCTAATTTACCAGATAAT